CACTTTACAATCATCAGGGCTTCTCTCCACACACAGCCCTCTGTGGGGCTGACCGGTGGCCGGGCAGATAAACACTTTGGTAGAGAGTGTGTGGAAGGGGTCCCTGCCCCAGGTCACTGGAGACAGGAAGGGAAGGCTTTTGGAAAGGGGTGACACTTGAGAGGCTTTCTAAACCACAAAGACATGGTAATGAGGCAGAGAAGTTGGGAAAGCACATCCAGGAAGAGAGAATGTTCCAGGCTTAGAGGGAGAATGACATTTTTGAAGAATGGTCTGGTGGGAGGGTAGGGGAGGGTGCCTGGGTGGCTCAGTTGGCTAAGCATCTGACTCTTGATTTCAGTTCAGGTCCTGATCTCTGCGTCTTGAGATCAAGCCCTGCATGGGGTTCAGAGCTCAATGTGGAGTCTGCTTGAGACTCTCTGTCCCTCTTCCTCTATCCCTCTTGCACCCTGCCCAGCCCATGCACACATGCACGCATGCACACACACACCCGTGCTCTCTCTAAATAAATAAATAAAATCTTAAAAAAAAAAAAAAAAAAAAGGAATGGCCTGTGTGTGTGTGTGTGTGTAACACTGGGAGGAGGCAGGGGCTCTGTCTTGGAGAACCTTTGAGGAGCCACCAAAAGTTTTTAAACAACCAGGGTGACTTGATCTGACTGGCAGCTCGGGCAGCCTGGGCAGCTGTGGACCTGGCTGGAGTTGGAGAGACAGGAGACGAGGCTGTCAAGGGTGAGAGAGGGTGGTGTAGTTGGACGCTAACATTGAGACGGCAGGAGTGCGGACATGAGTGGATCGAGAACTTTCCGGGAGCCAGAAACAGCCGTTCTTGCGGGCTAACCTCACTGAACCTCATGTCCTCCTCACTGCAAAATTGTTGTCCTCATTTTCCAGGTGTAGAAACTGAGCTCCGGAGAAATGAATCCTGTCCAGATTTCCATATCCCAGCACACCCAGGTGTTCCTAGAAACCTTCAGTTTCCCTCCCTTCACCTTGGCAGGCCCCTACTCTGTGCCATCAAATCTATGCCCAGGGCACCGGGCCTTTGCCCCTGGCAAGTGACAGTGATGCTGGGGGCAGCCATTCTAACGAGCTGTCAGGGAGGGGCCGTCAGGGAGGGGCCAGCAGGGTCGTGCACCAGCCATTGAAGACGGAAGTCCCCAACCCCCTCACAGTCCCCGGGGACTCCTGCTCAAATGAGCACCAATAGGGCCACGGAGGGGTCAGACCTGGGGAGAGAGATCCTCTGCCTCTTGACATCAGAGCGGGACATGTAAAGGATGCCCAGCCCCAACCCTGATCGACCCTTCCTCCATACCAGGTTAGGAGAGCAATCAAAAGAGGGAAAGAGCCAGGAAATGGTTAACCCAGGGAAGAGCCACCAAAGCCAATTGATCCACAGCCCCTCCTAGTTGGGCAATAAGTCCTCTGAGGGCTGCTTCCGCTGACCTCTCTTTGGCGCCATGGACAGTCCCAGCTTTCAACCTGTCTGGGGCGGGGGTTGGTGCGCAAGGCAGGACAGGACAGGATGGCGGCGTGGAAAGGCACCACTGGGCTCTGCATTCTGAGGGGTGGGGAATGTGTGAGGCCCCAGAGGGTTTGTCACTTGTGAAGCCTAGCAGCTGCAAGCATAAGTGTGAGGGACCCCGGCATGTGGAATACAAACCCCCGGAAGGGCTCCAGAGAAGTTACGCCAGTCTTGGCTTCGCTATGTTTCCTTGGACACTTCACTCACCCTCTCCGGGCCTTAGTTTGCTCTTCTGCAAAATGGAGAGACTAGCACAGCTAAGTTTTTTTTAAAAGCGGAAATTGTGTGCGGGTCATGTAATTCTTTTTACTAATCAATTTTTAAAACTCAAGAAGCGAGAGTTCATGGACATTTGGGCGTGACTCACATAAGTTGGGAAACCATACTACTGTCTGCTTTTCTGTTGCCAATTATCTTTCATAATGTCATTTTATGATGGAATTTTAGAGGAATTAGCCTCGACCAGCTGGAAAAAATGTAGTTAACATTCAGCTTAGATTCCGATGTCTGAGAGGCCCCATTTAGCTAATTCAAATCCAGCAACACTCGTCTGCTATGATGATAAGAGGATTCTGAGTAGTTCCAGGAAAATCTTAGGTGACCTGTGGGCTGGGGTCAGGCAGGTGCATTTGGTCAACCTGATGCTCAGGCCCAGGGCGGGGGTTTGGGCCAATAGGCAGCAGTCAGGGTGGGAGCTGGGGTTGCAGGAGGTGGCTGAGTTGGCCCCGAGTGCTAGGAGACTTGGGTGGTGGGGAGGATAGGAGGGAAAAAAGCAGGAGATCAAGGTAGGAGATGATGTGGGGAGGAGATTTTTTTCTTTTTAAGATTTATGTATTTATTTATTTATTTATTTGAGGAGGGGCAGAGGGAAAGAATCTCAAGCAGACTTTCTGCTGAACGAGGGTTTTGATCCCATGACCCATGAGATCATAACCTGAGCCAAAACCAAGAGTCGTACACTCAACCGACTGAGCCAGCCAGACGCCCCTTGGGGAGGAGTTGATACTGAGATGGATGGGCCTCCTTCTTCCTCCCCTCCAGCCACTCCCTCTACTCTCCTTTCCCTCTGATCCCTGCTTCTGCTAGAAGAGGGAACAGAAGTCAGAGAACCTTGCTCCCGGTCCTTATCTTCCTCAGTCTTACGGCCTGGGCAAGGCCCATAATCTCTCTGGGTCTCAGTTTCTTCCTCTGCAAAATGAAGATCCTCTACCATCTCTGCCCTCCTCATGCAGTTAGGAGAATAAATAAGAAAATGCCCAGGAAAGCACCTCAGAAATCACAAAGCACTCTACAAACAGAAGACATCTCCATTAAACAATTATGTAACCTGCTGACTCAGAACTGGGCCGCCCTGGCTCCTGTCCTGCCAGGAAGTTAGAAGAGCTGGCTCCGCCATTTACCTGGTGGAACTTAGTTGTATTTTTCCCCGTCTGGCAAATGGGGATGATACCTGATGATACCTAAGGGCCCCCTGTTTCATGGACTTGTGGTGAGAATCGCAGCAGATCATGTAGGCACCAGAGTTTAGTATGTTGTGGATCATCATAATAATAGTACAGAAGAAAGTTCACATTCCCAGCCCGCACCTGAAGACCCTCTGAAATCTGACAACACCCTCCTTGTGTATGTGTGTCTCTTTGCAGGGACGTGGGCCCTCACCAGGTCCTTCCCGTCCCGGGCCTGTCCACACTCAGTCACATACCAAGCTGGCTATACCCTTAATAAGCTCATGTCTTTTTGCCTCCAGGGGAATCCCAGGAGGACCCTGGGCTGCGAGAGGCATAGACTGTCACTTCATGTTTTCCTAGCACTTGGTGCAAAAATTGCCACATAGTAGGCACTCCGTAAATGTGGAATAAATGAGTTATGTTTTTAATGTTTTAACATACTGGCCCGGGGTCATATAGTTCAGGTTCCACTAACTTTTTTTTTTTGTAATAGAAAGCAGTAAGCAGTCTGAAGAGAAGTCAAGGAATAAGGTAGGTGGCCCTGACTTGTGGGGAAAAAAGATCCAGGTACTGGATGGGCCTGGGGATGTCTGGGTGGCACATCAGGCTAAGGTGTGCTTGGGGGTTATGAGTCCTAAACCTTGTGTTCGGGTCCTAGCTGTGGTTATTGGCAGCATGCCTTGGGTTTCAGGACAACTCTCTTAGCTTTGATGTTGCTATCGAGAAAGACAGATTCCTCCCTTCCTGATTCACAGCAGTGGGGCAAGAACCAGATGCCATCTGTGGAAAGCGCAATACAAATTTTTATTGGAATGTGCAAAGATCAGAGCCCTAAGAGTTCTTTCCCTTGTAGATTTTGCTAACATTTCCCAGTAGGGCCTGAAGAGGGCACTGTACCCCAGGAGCTGGGTTGGCCAGGATGAAAATTCTCCTGGGTGATTCCTCCCACCACGCTTCACCGCTGCTCCCAGCACACACATATACTTGGCAAATACCCTCCAATCCCCGAGCCTACCCATAATTTGCCCTGCTGCAGATTGCAAAAATTCTCTCTTTTGCATATTTTCAGGGGTGCAGGCTGACTTCTCTAAGTTTTGTGATATGAGCAGAAAGACTGATTCCCACGTATATGATGATGGTCAGGACTGGTCTCTCGGGTGGTACATTGCAGCTGAAGCATTATTTCTGGGAAGGAATTTGAGGTGGATTGTTGGAGTAATGGGTGAAATTAGAAGTAGGGATGGAGAGCAGAAGCTGAGTTAGTTTGTTCTGTGTCCCCCATCCCAGGGGAACAGGGCACACAGGTCGGGGTTATGAGGAAGGATAAGCAGAAGAGGAAAGGGGTAAGAGCTGGGGGCACTGGGAGTTCCTGCTGTCTTGGCTTTGGGCAGTTAGTTTATTTCTTCATCTGTTCCATGGGAATGACAGTGGAAACTTTCTCATAGAGTTGTGCAAGGAATAAAATGAGGTCATGTAAGCAAACCACCTAGAACAGCCCTGGGCACAGAGTGAGTGCTCAGTGAGACCGCTGTCGGGGACCGTGGCTCCTTCTGCAAGTGCCAGGGGAGAGCATTAATGGTGACCATCCCCAGGCAAGGAAGAGGGTCAGCTGGATTGAGAGGTGGCAAAGGCTGATGCAGGAATGTGGCTTTAGCCAGAGGCACCACAGAGAAGGAGAGAGAAATAATAAGGGCCCAGTGGCCAGGACTGGAAGCTACCGCCAGCCCCTCTGGGGGCTCCTGGTTCCTTGATGGCAGTTGTAGCTCATTAAAGAGGGTTACCAGCTGCCTACTGAGGAATAGCCTTGAATGGAACCACCTTATTGACCAGCGTGGGCAGAGCTTGTGGCCTCAGGCCCAGTGGGGTCAAGAGGTCAGACAGGCCATGCGAGGCAGCACGTAGGGCCCGACCCCCTCCACCTCTAGTTTCCCAGGACTGTGGCCTGCTGCCAGCATGCGAGCAGGGCCAGGGAAGTAGGGAGCTCCTGGGGAAACAGAAAAGTCAAGAGCCATGTTGTGATTTCAGTTCTTGCCAGTGAGATTGAAAAATACACAAAACTTGGACCCAGTGAGAGCCAGGGGCCAGCCCCCATCCCATCTTCACGGCTCCAACCACCCTTCGTCCAGTGGGCTCTTGCTGTCATGGGAGTATCCGTGAGACCTGGAGAATTCATGACTTGCCACCGAAATTCTCCAGTCCCTCCTGTCCCTGCCTGATAGGTGCAAAAAGAGATATTTGCCCTCCAGCTTCTCCTGGCATCACCGCTCGGCAGGGCACCGAGGTGAGTTTTGGTGTCTCCCCAGCAAGGCTCTGTCCCCAAGCTTAAGCTGATTTCCTCCGACTTCCTCCTGCTTCGGGGCCTCAGGCTGGCCCTGTGACATCCTCAGATCTGAGTTGAGCTCTGGACAGTTCCTCTGGCCCTTGAGATGTCACCCGTGGCCGTGCAGTGTCCGTGGGACAGGCTGGTGCTGAGCTGCTCACCCCTCGACAGGGGTCAGGAGTGGTGGTGCAGAGGCGTGGTACGGGCAGTGGTGGTGAGTGAGGTGGTGGACGTGCCCGGGGTGGGAGCACCTGGTCACCTGTCCCCTCTCCTGCAGGCCTCCCCCGTGTACAGCGTCAGCTTTCCCCGCAGGAAATTGGAGTAGATTCGGAAAAGTTTGCACAAAGTATCAACAGTGAATGTTTGGAGTGGAGCAACAGAGGCTTCCTCTGGAAGGGAGATGGCCTCCTTCTGCCAAGGAGAGAACAAAAAAGTTACTGCCGGGGAACCCTGGAGGGAGACGGGATTCAGGACAGAACTGGAGCGGGGATGAGCAGGGCCCTTCCAACGGAAGCGCGAGGGAGGCTCCCACCCACCTGGGCTCCCAGCGCCCGAAGCAGGGCGGTGAGGCTTCGCAGGCTGCTGATGGCTTTGTCCACATGCAGCCGGAGGGTCTCAGATGGCTGCGAGGAGTTGGCCAACAGGGCCTGGCCCCGCAGGATGGCTTCTGAGAGCAGGGCCAGGCCCTGCCAGACTTCCACAGCCTGCTGCCCAACCTAAAGGAAATGGAGACTTGGAGTTAGCGGCCCAAACCAGCCCCTCCCTCTCAGCAGCCCCAAGCACCAAGCTGAGCAAAGTGAAGGCTTAGAATCAGTTTGGTTGAATGAATGAATGAATGAATGAATGAACAAAGAACAGAGAACAAATGAACAAACATATTGCATCCAGCCCTCATCTTCTTCTGTCGTTCTCCCGAGCACCCCCTCAGGTTCCCAAAATGAGACTCCCCAAGAAGAGGGAAAAAATAAACTCACGTCCATCCTCTTCCAGGTGTAGAAGTTAACCTTGGTGTCTGGGACGGTGATATTCTCACTGAAGCTGCAGCCTTGAGCACAGCCCATCTGAAATGCACGACCCGGGGTGAGGGGGGTCAGGCTCCCCAAAAGCTCCCTCCACCTTTGCCCCTTACCTAGCTTCCAGGTATGCACTGGGGGCTACCACTTGTATTACTTTTACTGGGGGCTCTGGCTTCCCACTTCCATCCCTGAACCAAGTGCCAGTTCCTGGATCTTGGAGGAAACCCCTGGGCTCTTGAGAGTGAGTTCTGTGGAATGGCCTGAGGAGGGGGCCTCACCGTGACATTTTCGGCCTCCCTGGCCTCCAGGATGTACCTCTCCAGGACTCGGCTGTCGCAAATGAGGCGAGGGGGGGCGCCCAGGACTGGGAGGCCCAGAGGAAGCAGCAGCAAGGACAGCAGAAGCAGCGGGGCAGGACATTCTAGAAAAGAGTGCCGGGCCGAGTGTGTGGGTTTGGAGGGGCAGGTTCACACATCCCGCTCCTCTGCCCCCAGCGAGGCGCTCCCGACCCCCCACCTTCCCAGCGCTCAGGTTCTGCCTCCTCTGCCTTCATTCAATCCCGCTGCGACGCGCACCCCACCCCACCCCCAAACTACCGGCATCCACTTCTCCGGGCCAAACTTCAATCCCGGTGTGACAGAGGCTTTCCCTCTCGCAGATCCCGGTGATTGCTCCAAGACCCAGGTGTCAGCTTTCTCCCCACGCACGTAGCAGCCCCCTCTTCTCCCCGAACCCCGAAACCGCGTCCCCGTGTCCAGGTCAGATTTCACCTTTCCCAGGGGCTCCCTAAGCCCTGCCGGCACGTGGAGGCTGCCCCACCCCCCTTGCCCTTCCGGGGTCCTTGGCAAGTTGTCGGTCCTTGAACCCAGCCACCTCGGGGCCACTAGCCCCGGCGGTAAATTCCTGCTCAAACAGGGGCCCGGGCGGGCGGGGGCTCCTCCAGCCGGCGAGTACTCACCGCACGCCCCCATCTCCGCGCCTCCCCCGGCCCTCAGCGACCAGGGGCTCGGCCGGCGCCCTTGCCGGGAACCCTCATCCCGGGAAGCGCCGCGGGGCAGGGCCGTCCCCACGGCCCGAAGGAGGGGGCCGCCGAGCCGGGGTCGCACAGAGAGCGCGCAGGGCTCTTGGCCAGGGTCCGCGAGGACTGGCGCGCGGCGACCGGCCGGGGTTGGCCCGGGGACTGCGGCTCGGCCGGGGGGTCGGGGCTGTTATCAGCATGTGTGCGTGCGGGTGGGGGGGTGGGGGGCAGGCTGCGTGCGTGAGGGGTCGCCAGAGGTAAGGGCCAGAGGGGTCAGACCGGGGCAGGACGCCTGGGTCGGGGGCTCGCTGGGGCGGGAGCGGAGCGGCCGCAGGCGCGGAGCGGGGGCACCGGCCTGCCCCGCCGACCCCGGGTCCCGGGAGGCGCGGCTGGTTGCGCACCCGCGGGAGGAGTACCATTCTGGGAAAGGCTGGGGACCCGACGCTCCCTCCACCCGGTGGGGGAGGGGGGGCGCGTCCCAGTCTTGGGCGGGGGGTCAGAGCTGGGAGCACCGTTCCCGCGAGGCAGCTGGCTTTGGAAGCCGGGAAGGTGCTGGCGGGGGCAAGTTGCCTGCCTTCTCACAATCCCAGTACTTGTTCTAGAAGCCAGTATTGTTCGTGTTGAGGAATCTGATGGGTGGACACGGAGTAAGAAATTTGGGGGTCTTCTCGCCCCCACTCTTTACTTCTCTAGGACTCCGGAAACCCAGAAATTGAACTTTCAGGGCACAGGATATGTGTGCAGGACCTGCATGCACTTTGACATCCTTCTTGTTTTTTGTTGTTTCTGGTTTTGACCTGTGATACAGGTTAGCCTGCATGGCAGAATTCGTTAGAGCTCTAAAACAGAGCTATCCCCCAGACTGAGGTGGTTCAGATTTGCAGCTAAGCCTTCGGGGCTTCTAGGAAGCAGGGGGGCAAGCTCCCTAGAGCAGAAGTCTGAGGCTGGCTGGCCTCTCAAACCTTGGACAGTGGTCTCAGTCCTGAGCCTCAGTGCCCTGACCTGTCAAAGGGGGGTGATGAAGTCCCAGTTCCAAAGTCCTACAAATCCAGGTGCTTATGTATCTTCCCTCACTTTCTTCCCAGTTCCATGAGATTAAAGATATTTTATTCACACAATGATGGGTGCCTTCTTTGTGCAGGTCAGCTGACCACACACTTTGCAAGACGAAAAGATGTGTTTGAGAGTTCCTGCCTCCTGGAGTTGATAGCTTACAGCAGAGAGAAGATGGGTACACAGGGTAGTGTGTGAGGACCGGAGTGTTCAGAGCCTAGCGGGAAGAGTTTGGAAGAGGCAGAGCTCACTGTTAGCTGGGGGAATCAAGGAAGATTTGATGCAGTGACAGGAGCTCAGCCTTGAAGGGCCCGTAGGATTTTTAATAGGAAGAGATGTGAGATGGGGATGAAGCTAGTTCAGCAAGGGGAAAGGGGGGGGTCAGGTGTGTCAGGATAGGGGGTGTGGACTGCAGAGATGGAGGAGACTAGGCCGGAGGGCTGGTTAGGGAGTGGTCAGGTTGTGAAGGGCCTTGAATGACACTCAAGAATTTGGATTTGGGGCGCCCGGGTGGCTCAGTCAGTTGAGCGTCCAGCTCTTGGTTTCAGCAGGTCGTGATCTCATGGGTCATGAGCTGGAGCCCCGCATGGGCCCCACGCTCAGTGGGGAGTCTGCTGGAAAGATTTTCTCCCTCTGACCCTCCCCCCAATGTGTGCAGGTATGCTCTCTCTCTCTAAAATAAAGAAATCTTTTTAAAATTTTTTTTAAAAAGGAAAGAGTGTAAAGAGTGGGGAGCACTCATTCATTCATTCATTTGAGAAATGAATATTTATCTAAGAAATATATATGAGTACCTCATTGTGGCCGGGACCTGGGGATGGAATGAAACAGACAAGAGGGCCTGCCCTGGTGGAGCTGACATTCTAGTGGCGAGGTGGGATGACCACAAAAATGAACAATAAAAGACCACGGCAATAAAGGACCAAGGAGAACAGGCGTGGAAGGGACCAGGAGTGTTGGAGGAGGCTGCAGGTTTCGAAGGGCAGTCGGGGAAGCTGTGCCGAGGGTGACCTGAATAAAGGCGGATGGAGGTGAGGGAGGGAACCCTGAGGTGGGGAGGGCATGATTAAAGAGGGGGTCAGGAGAGGGAGAAGCAGGATGCAGAGTCTGGTGTGCTTTCTGTGGAAAGTCATGAGGGCCTGACTTGTTCCAGTACTGCTCCTCTGCCCTCTGCTCACCTCCAGGCCCTGCTCTGGGGTCCCTCCTCAACCCTGGCATACTGACTCCCAGTCTGCACACCCTGCTATGCCCCTGGTCCCAGTTTCCCTCTCAGCACCCAGGCAGCTTCCCAGCCCTGCTTGGCCTTCGGAGCCCGATTCTGCTTCCCTCCCAGATCCCAGCTGTGGGACAAGCACACACACACTCACGTCCACACACGTCCACACATGCGTTCTGTCCCGACACCCCCCCCAGCCTCTGCTCTCTGGTCCCCTGACTCCTGCGTCACTGCCCTGACCTGACCATGGAGAGGGGACCCGGGACAGATGGGGGGGTGGGTAGACACCGCCTAAGGAGACAGAGGGGAGGAGGAGCCTTTTGGGCTGTGGGACCTGCTGCTTCCCTCATAGCAACTTGGAGGCCTGCCTTCACCCCTGCCTTCAAGGAAGGAGGGGAGATGGGCCATAAGCACCAGAGCCTAGGTGCTAGGGCCTGATGGACAGGGCTGGTGCTGGCTCATCCTCTGGGACTTTTGGAGAGAGCCCTCTGGTCGTAGCTTGGGAGAGAAGGGGCAGGAGAGGACCTTGGTCCACCCCACACCCACCCGCTAAGTTGTAGTAATCCTACCAGAGGGCAGAGCCTGGTTTGGGGGCCATCTTCAACCCAGGTGCTCTTGGCTACTGCCCAGCAGGGTCCAGCTTACCTGCCCTTGATATCAGGACCCTGAAAAACAGAGAAAAAACAAGAAGCTCCTCGGGGCTCCCCCTCTAACACCTCCCACCCCTGCCAGTGCCCCCTCCATCTGCCTCCTTGTGTCCCTCTGGCATGGTGCTGGCCACTGCAGAGGGTCTCCTCCCTGACCTCTCCAGTCAATCCCCACCAGCTTTCCCATTGAATAGACTCGTTCATGTCATGCCCCTGAGCAGGAGACTGCCGTGGCTCCCAGTGGCCCCAGAACTAAGACCCTCTGTGTTCTGCCATTCACCTACCTCTCCAGCCTCTTCTCCCACTTTGCTCATTCCCAATCCTTCCATTGCATGAACTCAGTTAGATGCCTGCTGCCTTTTGCTCACTCTGTGCTTTCCACCTGCATCACCTTCTCACACTATCTCCCCCGCTCCCCGTTCTTCAAAGCCCAAACCCAAGACTTAAGCAATTCTGTGTAGCCTTCCCTGATCACCCCTGCAGAAAGTTCTCTCCTTCTGCACTGCCATCATTTAGGGACGTGGCTTAGGCCTCCTACTGGCTGGGCCACCACACACATCTTTCAACACGGAGCACTGCACAACTCTAGGGGGCGCCATTCACACAGACTTGCTAGGAATGGTACTCTCTGAAGTCTTGCAGCACCAGTGCCTTGTTCATCAAAAAGAGCAGAGGACAGTGTACGGCGGGCTCGTTCACCTTGCGGGGCTCGTTTACCTTGGTACCCCCCAGGGACCCAGCATGTTGCCTATTTATGGTTATGTGTGGCTGGTATTAGGTGGTCCCTCCACTCCAGGCACCTCGGCCAGAGAATGGGAGACGTAGAGTGGGGAAGCGAGCCACTCATCCTCTGAGTGCTTGCTGGAGCCAGCCTGGACAACCCAGCTCTGGGATCTCGGGGGCCTGTGAAGCCTCCATCCGCTTCCTGAGCGCAGCCACTGAGGCAGGGTCTGAAAAGGGGTGGGTGTGACAGGAGGATGGCGGGGGTGGAGCAGGCTCTGCTCCATGGAGTCTTCCTGGCAGCCAGTTCAGACTGAAAGTCCAAGGAGAAGCAAATTTACAGCTCCCCTGAGCTGCCCCAGACCCCAAGGCAGCACGAAGCCCCAGCTGCCTGGGGTCGTGTTGGGGACGAAGGGGGGCCTCTGGGCCTCCCTTCAGTGGCTCCCAGCTTGGCTGGAGAGTTCAGCCAGTGGCCCACAAGACCTTCTGTGCTGGGAAGTGAGGTGGCCAGGGACTGTGGAGGGTGTGGTGGGGGGAGGGCTTCCTGGCCCTTGGGGAATTGGGAAGGGAGCAAGAATGCTGGAGAACAGATTCCTGCTGGAGAACCAAAGAAAGTCCTGTCCAAAGGCCGATTTGGAGAAACTGAGGCAAGGGCTGCTTGCTGGGCCATAAAGTAGCCGGGAGAACCGGACCTCCAGGTGTCTTCTCTCAACAAGCATTGGCTCTGTAGCCCAGCAGCTTAAAGGGGGTTGTCCTGTAAACAGGGGAGCCCAGATTAGTGGCCTGAGCTCTGCCACTTGCTAGCAGCCGGCTTGGACGCGTGACTTGACTCCTGAGCCTACGGATGGCAGACGATAGTAACTGCTTCCCACGGCTGTCGTGGGTTATGTAACACTTGGAGGAGGGTGATCAATAAATTCTGGTTGTTATTACTGCACTCACTCTGCTTTAGTATCCCTCTTACTTGTCCTCACTTTGGAGGCCTAGAGACCAAATCTCCAGCATATTCTCCAGACTCCCTCCAGCACCCTCCCCTGTTCCCTCTGGGGAGCTGGGCACAGGCTCATGGCACCTTGTCTCTCCCGTTGTAGCAGCCCCGCCAAGCAACTCACCGGAAGACATCATGAGAATAGTGGGGTGTGAATGGAGGTATCTCTGGGCATATGCGCTGACTGCACTTTGGAGAAACTTGCCCTGGAACACCACTGCGTGAAATGGAGTCACTGTGGGAGTTGCTGGTGGGTTAAGATGCAGATATCAAGCCTATAGGCTCTTTCTACTTAGAAGAATATAGGCCAAGATCTCCTCAAGGGACGTTTATAGAGGCCTTAGACATACTCGTAAGCATCCAAATGTAGCGAATACTTTCCCAAGTGGTTCATGGTTCACTGAGAACTAACAAATACCAAGAACCTATTGCTTGACCCCATAGGCATCCCCTGATCTGTATGTAAGGGAGCTTTTCTGCTCCTGTCTTATTTCATGAACCAGCAAATGAGTTTAATACTTTCAGGAAAGTGTATTTTTCTTGCAGCGAACAAAATTCACAGACTCTGAACTGGAAAGGATCGAGGAGGTCCCTTGAAAGCGAAGGTCCACCCTCGGCTTGCAGTGGCAAGACATACGGTGTTTCTCGACAGAGCAGAGGCTTGTTATAGAGTGGACAGCAAGCTGCATCCGTCCACGCAGTGATATTTATTAGTTACTGGATTGGGCAATGAAATCACTTCTCCTTGAGATTATCTCATCAGTTTGATAAATAACTCCCCTGATCACCCCACCTAGAGAACAAAGCAAAGGAACAAGCTTTGTAAAAAATTACTGTTTGGTTTTTTTTTTAAGATTTTATTTATTTATTTGACAGAGACATAGCGAGAGAGGGAACACAAGCAGGAGGAGTAGGGGAGGGAGAAGCAGGCTTCCCCGTGGAGCAGGAGCCCGATGTGGGGCTCGATCCCAAAACCCTGGGATCACAACCTGAGCCGAGGGCAGATGCTTAATGACTGAGCCACCCAGGCGCCCCCAAAATTACTGTTTTCTTATTACAAAAATGATCTGTTATCATTGAAAACTAGGAAATATGGCTAAACCAAAACATATGAATGAAAAGCACCCATAGGGACGCCTGGGTGGCTCAGTCGTTGAGCGTCTGCCTTCGGCTCAGGTCGTGATCCCGGTCCTGGGATCGAACCCTGCATCGGGCTCCCTGCTCAGCGGGAAGCCTGCTTCTCCCTCTCCCACCCACCCCCCTGCTTGTGTTCCCTCTCTCACTGTGTCTCTCTCTCTCAAATAAATAAATCTTAAAAATACAGAAAGAAAGAAAGAAAGAAAGAAAGAAAGAAAGAAAGAAAGAAAGAAAGAAAGAAAGAAGAGAAAGAAAGAAAGAAAGAAAGAAAGAAAGAAAGAAAAGAAAAAAAAGAAAAGCACCCATAATGCCATTAGGAAGGCAGAGTCTTTTTTTAAGATTTTATTTATTTGAGAGAGTGAGAGAGAGAACACGAGTGGGGTGAGGGGCAGAGGGAGAAGCAGACTGCCCCTGAACAGGGAGCCCAAAGCGAGGCTCAATCCTGGGACCCCGGGATCACAACCCGAGCCAATGGCAGATGCCTAACTGACTGAGCCACCCAGGCACCCCAGGAAGGCAGAGTCTTAAATGGTCGTGTCCAGACATCTTTCTTGGTGGGATCACTTTCACTTCACCCCAAACCTCCATGCAGTTGGACATCTGCTCCCTGGCACACTATGTTGAGCCAGACTTTTAGTCCAACTTCTCCAGAGGTTCAAGGGTTTACGGAACATGCCATTCTTTCGCCAACTCCTGACCAAACACCAGGAACTCACCTGAGACAGAGTACAAGGACCTCCCTAGGAGGATCATCACCCCATCCAAACCAGTTCGTGTGTCCTGAGGGCCTGTCTTCTTCCCTGCTGGGCAAGCCACAAACGTAAAAGCTAACAGAGCTAGTAGCCTGGCCTTGTAAATCAAATACACACAAATCACCTTTCTTCCCCTCTCCCTATTCCCACGAAGAGGCCCGAAAGCATTTCTTTGCAAAATGGCTCATATTAACCATAGTAGCTTTTACAGCTTACGGAGCCTATACCTAATGCCAGGGACAGTTCCAAGCACTATGCCAATTACTTGTCTTTTTAAAATCTGCCATATTCCCTATTGACTTTTTTTTTTTAAGATTTTATTTATTTGACAGAGACACAGCGAGAGAGGAAACACAAGCAGGGGGAGTGGGAGAGGGAGAAGCAGGCTCCCTGTGGAGCAGGGAGCCCGATGTGGGGCTCGATCCCAGGACCCTGGGATCACGACCCAAGCCGAAGGCAGACGCTTAACGACTGAGCCACCCAGGCGCCCCTCCCTATTGACTTGTGAAGACCAGTTTATACCTTTCTGGGAAGGCCAGGTGCTTAACACAGATCCCTACAACTAACACGTGCTCAATAATGCTATGGGTGATGAGCAGGTATCTGCATCCTCCTCCACAACAAAGCATTTCAATTCTGGCCTCTGCAGATCTGGTTTTGAAGTTGGCGGTCATTTCAAACTCACTGTGGCTTCTGCCGCTGTTGAGTAAAAAGAAGGGAGGGGGTACTGCATGTGGACACACCTTCTCCCCCTATCCCCAGCCCTGATGGAAGACACTTGTCAACAGGAGGCAGGGGAACAGTGGTAGTCGGCCTCCCTACGGGAGGGATTCGGAGTTCCCTGCCCTGCCCACCATGCCTGGACTCCAGCAGATGCAGGAGCCTTCCCCACGCCCCCTACCTGCCCACACACGCAAAAGGGTGAGCTCTGGGACCCTGTCTTCCTTCAGCAGTGATGTCTAGGGGCTGTTTCCACGGACCTGCCACTGAGGGAAGCCCCACTGGCAAGCAGTGAGAGAAATGGGAGTAGAAACAACAAATAGGCTGGGAGAGATAGTTGCCAAAACAAACCAAATGCAAAAGAGCTGCTTGCCACCAGCTTGGCTGGGCCCAGGCCAGGAGCATGGAGAGACAAGAATACATACGTGCAGGGAAACATATCGTTCCAGCGAGCTCCCTGCTGGCTCCCCATGCTGCTACTGGGGGCTCTAGGGGCAAGGGGGCCCTGCAGTCAAGGCTGACAGGGGAACGAAGTGGGCAGTATGGAGAGCAGGGGGGATCTGAGAGAAATGCCTCTCATCTTGTCTCCCTTAAGTCTCCCCAGTGCCTCCTGCTTTCTAGCCACCCTGAGTGACCCTTGAGTCCCACAACACCCCCTGCCTATTCACGAACCCCCTTTGCACATGCGGACCCCTCTGCCAGATATGTCCTCTCTTCTCTTTGCCTGGCAAACTCCTATTCATCCTTCAATACCCAAGGTCAAAGGTGAAGCATTTTGGACCCCACCCGGAAGCTAGCCATCTCACTCTTCACATTTCCAAATCATGTCTACTCTTACTACTTTTTTTTTTAATTTTTATTTATTTGAGAGAGTGAGAGAGAGAGAGTACAAGAGGGGTTAGGGTCAGAGGGAGAAGCAGACTCCCCGCTGAGCAGGGAGCCCGATGCGGGACTCGATCCCAAGACTCCGGGATCATGACCTGAGCCGAAGGCAGTCGCTTAACCAACTGAGCCACCCAGGCACCCTCTATTCTTAATTCTTATATAACTCACCTCACTCACAAAAATGCGTATATCTACCTTCCCAGTGAAATGGGGAAGCTCCTTGAAGGCAGGGGCTTTTGAACTGGTTTTGTATCCCCAGGGCCCACCCTGGGCCTTGGCCCAGAGTAGGCACTCAGCATGTTTGTTTGAATGAAGCACTAGTCCTCCTGTCAGGAGTCTGCTTTCTTGAGTTGCAGGCAGTCATCATCCAGTATCCAAGTCCCTGGACAGGAATACCCAAGCCTGAGGGAGGGATTTTGGTAAATGAGAAGCCTGATTTTCAGACCCCCAAACCAAACTGCCTGCAAGCAAACTTGAGTAAAATTCTGTTACTGTTAGATCAGAGGCTTTCAAACTCTTGTGACTTGGATCAACAGTAAAAAACACAATTTATATTGTAACTAGCAAATGTGTAGTACACACAGATCTGTAACTGAAAAGCACCAACATTACCATTTCAGGTCCATTTCTGTAAGATTTTTAAAAGGCTCAGACCCAGTAAATTGATTTCGAGACCCACAAATGGATCACCACCCACTTTGATAAACATTGCTTTAGATGACTCTAGCTTGATAAACATGAGAAATCAGATCCCCTTACAAATATCTGAACAAAAAACTTATTATCTGTGTGCCTGGTAATTCAGGCAGGAGGCTCTCCCTTCCCACTAGAGCAGCCCACCCAGGAGGGTCTAAAGGGCTCTGGACCACAGTTGCTCGGAACCACTTGGGCCCAGCAGGACTGGGAATCAAATGAAGCAGTGTGTTAGTCCCTATCACAGAGCCTGACACAAAGGAGGTCCCAGTCTTTGCTCCCTTCGTCTTTAAATGCTCACCTTCCTCGTCCTGGGAACAGCCACCAAGAAGCCCGATGCTTCCTGAGTTACAACCATCCCAGCTGCGCTTTCAGCAGGCAAGAGTGTATACCTTATCCACTCGGCCTGCCTCTGAGAGTACAAAAAAATTTAAAGCAAACACTGGGATTCTCAGGCTTTTGCTTGTACTAAAGTTTGTTTTGTTACACTGTCCGTAGTACTATCTATGCTCTCTGCAAAGGCAAGAAACACCTGGGGTTCCCTCCTGTATGTAAATACTTGTAAAGGTTCCTACTTTCCCTTTCCCCGTACATACAGAATTTACACAGGGGAGAGACAGTGGCGGTGGGGCGGCTGCATACTAACACAACTTGGTAGTTTTTATTGTCTAGGACAATGGTTACAGATCACAAAGACTCGGGAAGACCCACTGCTTGGGCCCAACAAGAGACAATACTCTCCCTCGCAGTTCAGAGTCCTCTGGGCTATAAGGGGACAGGCTTTTTCTTACGTGGCTCTGGTAGGAGGTCCATGACTGTACTCAGTACAAGATGAGCCATATCTGAGCCTACTTATGTGGGGGTGGGTGGATAAGGTGGCCATCCTCATTTCCATTACTTGGGTGCAACCCTGAAGACCCGGATGTGGATGGCCGAGTTGTTGCGGATGCGGGTCAGCGGCTCTCGTGTGTCAGTCTCTGGTTCCAGCTCATCGACAAGCTCCACGGTGGAGGTATTGGCAGCCACCTGCAAGGACCCGAAGCTGCCCGCCTGAAGCTGTAGGGCAATGTTGATGGCACGGTTGATGGCCAGGCCCAAGCCGTGAATGTAGATCTCACTGCATGAATTCTGACCCCGAGCCCCTCCGTCCAGAAGCTTTTGGCAGCGGGCCAACTGGGCCTTAAAGTCAGTCTTCATGTTGACATAAATGTCATTGGGCCTCCGGGGCAGGCGGTGGGGAAGCCGCTTCCGAAGGGTATACTCCACCGGGTCCAGTTCAGCCTCGACGGCCCCGCGGGGCTCTCGGTTTTCCGCCATGCTGTGTGCTCTGACGCGGGGAAGAGAGGAGATCAAAGAGAGATGACAAGAGACTTCGCTGCCTTTCCCCCCGCGTTTCCAGCCCGAACGGTGCAGACAGGAGGGGACGCAATCAACTGCCCTCTTGCCTTCCAGCCCCAGTCCCCTCCCACTCACCTCAAGCTCCCTCACCCCCAGTTCCTATTCATTGAGGGCATCGCCCCCAACCTCAGGCCCCTCCACCCGCCCCCTTCCCCCGCGCCTACACCCTCCAGTCCCCAGTCCTCTCCCCGAGCACGCGGCCCGATCCGGGCCAAGCCACTCAAGTGCTGCGCCCACCCTCTCGGACGGAGCGTACGGCGCCGGACACGCAGGACCCAGGAAGAGAAGAAAGGCTGCGCGCTGGAGGATCGCGAGACTGCGGCCGCCCTTACGGCTCCGGGCTCCTGCGAGGGCTGCGCAGTGCGCACGCGCGCCCGTCCCCCGCGATCCACGAATCGCCTTCCCGGCCTCCGTTCTCCCCGCCCCTCTGGGCGTTCGCGCGACCGTGCGGTGTGTCTAGGTAACGCGAGAGCGCTGGGAGACCGGCTCCACCATGTGTACGCCACGCAGGCGGGGTGCGGAGGCAGGAGGCGTGTACTAAGTCAAAGCCCGGGAGGGTAAGCTTTCCTAGGCCGGTCCAAGTTCTTGGCCCACGGAGGGGTCCTGAAGGGGAGAAAGGGAGAGAGGAGACTTTTCTAGAAGCGTGGAGGATTTGAGGTAGGGGCTTACAAAGACAGCCGGGAGGGTTCAAGAAGGTGAAGGGACCTAAAGGCAAGTCTGGACTCCCGCGTCCATTGCAGTACCTCTGGTTAGAGGAGGCGTGGCAGAGTTGGCAGAGCCGATCTCCCGCCCAAGGTCCCTGCTGCCCAGAGACCGAGGGGGGGATTGAGGGGTGAGGCCGGGCGCTCGGCAGACGCCGCCGCCTCTGGTCTCCCCTGTAGGACACGGGGACCCGTCCTTCTCCCCTATCTCTCGCAAGGGCTGACCTCCCCCCCAAGTCAGCCCTTGGGGCCCCAAGCTATGAGCCGTAGGCCCTACTTTCACGGCTCCCCCCAGAGCACGCTGACCCACCCACACCCCTCAACCTGTCCCCCCCCCAGCTAGCTCATCGGCCTCTGCCCACCCCGGCAGGGACGTGCGCCCCCTGGCGGTCAGGGCGGGACGGCGCCTGGTGGTTCGTGGCTCCCAAGGGCCAGTAGGGAGGAGTTTCCTCTGGCCAGACTGGTATAGCTTCTGGAGAGTTCCCTTCAAAAATGAGTTAGATCTGGGGCGCCTGGGTGGCTCAGTCGTTAAGCGTCTGCCTTCGGCTCAGGTCATGATCCCAGGGTCCTGGGATCGAGTCCCATATCGGGCTCCCTGCTCCGCGGTTAGCCTGCTTCTCCCTCTCCTACTCCCCCTGCTTGTGTTCCTGCTCTCACTATGTCTCTCTCTGTCAAATAAATAAATAAAATCTTAAAAAAAAAAAAAAAAATGAGTTAGACCTGCACTGGGGACCTAGAACTATTCCCTGCTTGAGTTGCCCCAACACTCAAATGGGGATGATAATTCCTGTTTTGCAACTGTGAAACCCAGTATAACCTTGTGAACTGTAAGCCTACACATGGGAGTTGGCATTTTTATGGCCCCATTTGACTGGAGGTTGGAAGGGGGTCAGGTTCCTGAGAACTTTGCTCCCAGCACCATTTAAATCCTGTACTCCTTTTAGCTTCAGATTCTTTCATTAATCACAAGTTTGGGGGTTTATGTGGAGGTGAGGAGGAAAGGCTGGCCACAACCCTATTCTGCCTGAGAAGTGACATTTGAGCTGAGTTGTTTTAAGATTTTATTTATTTATTTGATATAGAGAGAGCACGCACAAGCAGGGGGAACTGCAGGGAGAGGGAGAAGCAGGCTCCCCGCAGAGCAGGGAGCTGGATGCAGGGTTCGATCCCAGGACTCTGAGATCATGACATGAGCTGAAAGCAGACGCTTAACAGACTGAGCCACCCAGGTGCCCCTGAGCTGAGTTTTGATGGATAAACAGGAGTTCTTCAGGGAACCAACGAGTATTCTGGAAACACTGAAGGGTATTTTTAAAACAACGGAAGTCTAATCTAAGCTTCCACCTCAAGGAACTAGAAAATGAAGAGCCAAATAAACCCAAAGGGAAGAGAAGTGAGGAAATAATAAAGAACGAAACCCAATAAAACTGAACACGAAAACAATAGAGAAACAATATAAAAAGTGGTTCTTTGCAAAGATCAATAAAGTTGATAAGCATCTAGCAAGACTGACAAAAAAACAAGAACAAGGGAAGGAAAACTGGAGGTGCCTGGCTGGCTCAGTCAGTAGAGCATGCAACTCTTGATAGGGGGTTATTAGTTTGAGCCCCATGTTGGGTGTAGAGATTACTTAAAAAAAAAAAAAAAAAAAGCTTAAAAAGAAGGAAGACTCAAATTATGATTACCAGAAACGAAAGCAGGGATAGCACTAAAGATCCTCATATGCAAAAGATACTTAGAGAATATTACAGGCATGCCTTAGAGATATTGTGGGTTGGGTTCCAAACCACTGCAATAAAGTGAATATCACAATAAAATGAGTCAAATTTTTTTTTGGTTTCCCAGTACATACAAAATTTATGTTTACAGGGGCGCCTGGGTGGCTCAGTTGGTTAAGCGACTGCCTTCGGCTCAGGTCATGATCCTGGAGTCCCGGGATCGAGTCCCGCATCGGGCTCCCTGCTCGGCAGGGAGTCTGCTTCTCCCTCTGACCCTCCCCCCTCTCATGTGCTCTCTGTCTCAAATAAATAAATAAAATCTTAAAAAAAAAAAATTTATGTTTACATCACACTGTAGTCTATTAAGTTTGCAATGGCATTATGTCTAAAGAAAAGTATATATCTTAATTTAAAAATACTTTATTGCTGAAAAATGCTAATCATCTGAGCTTTCAGTGAGTTGTAATTACTGATTACAGATCACCATAACAAATATAAGAAGTTTGAAATATCAAGAGAATTACCAAAATGACACACAGACACAGAAGTAGGCAAATGCAGGGCGCTTGGGTGGCTCAGTCAGTTAAGCATCTGCCTTCAGCTCAGGTCATAATCTCAGCGTCCTGGGATCATCCTTGTGGAGCTTCCCTGCTCAGGGGGGAGCCTGCTTCTCCCCTCTCGCCCTGCTTGTGCAGGCACACTCCCTCTCTCAAATACCAATTTTTTTTAAATAGACTTTATTCTTTTTTTTAAAGATTTTATTCATTCATTTGACAGAGAACACAAGCATGGAGAGCATCAGGCAGTGGGAGAAGGAGAAGCAGGTTCCTTAGCAGGGAGCCTGATGCTTGATTCCAGGACCCTGGGATCATGACCTGAACTGAAGGCAGGTGCTCAACCACTGAGCCACCCAGGTGTCCCAATAAATTAAAAAAAAAATTTTTTTTTAAAGAAGTAAACAGATGTTGTTGGAAAAAGTGGTGCTGACAGGATTGCCACAAACGTTCAATTTGTAAAAATTGCAGTACCTACAAAGTACAATAAAATAAGTTATGCCTGTACAAACAACTCTATATATACAAATTCAGCAACTTAAATGGACCAATTTCCTAAACAACCACAACCTACCGAACTTACCTGAGATGAAACAGATCATCTGAATAGTCCTGTAATTATTCAAGTAATTACATTCATAGTTAAAAAAAAAAAAAAAAACCTTTTAAAAAAGAAATATCTAGGTCCACATTTCAGTGGTGAACTCTACCAAAAAAAAAAAAAAAAAAAAAAACCACACAAATTCTACACAATCTCTTCTCTATAGAAGAGGAAGGAACATTTCCTAACTAATTTTATGAGACCAAAACCAGACAAAGATTATACAAATGAAAACTACAGACCAAAATTTCTCATGAACAAAGATGTAAAAATTCTCAACAAAATTCTAGCAAACTGCATCCAGCAGTATATAAAAAGAATTATAAATCATGACCAAGTAGAGTTTACTCCAAAGTTGCCAGACTGGTTCAATATAAGAAAACCAATTGCTCTCATTTACCATATTAATAGGCTAAACATAAAATGTATATGATCATACCAATCAATACAGAAAGAAACATTTAACATAATTTAGTATTCATTTATGAAAAAAAACTCTCAGCAAAGAATAGAAGGAACTTCCTCAACCTGTTAAAGAACATCTACAGAGGGGCGCCTGGGTGGCTCAGTCAGTTAAGTGTCTGCCTTTGGCTTAGGTCATGATCTCAGGGACCTGGGATCGAAACCAGAGCCCTATGAGCCCAAAGCCCCATAAGCCAAGAGCTCCAGGAGTCCCACTGCAGGCTCCCTGCTCAGCGGGGAGCCTGCTTCTCCCTTTCCCTCTGCTGCTCTCACTGATCGTGCTCTCTCTCTCTGTCAAATAAATAAAATCTTTAAAAAAAAATCTACAGAAACCCTACAGTTACAATCATATTTAATGGTGTAAGACTAGACAGTTTTCTCTTAAAATCAGGAACTCTCTCTCGTGGTTAAAGTCCCAGCCAGTTCAAAAAGGCAAGGAAAGGATACAGTGCAATAAGGCAAAGAAAAGATTGGAAAGGAAGATATAAAACTCTCTATTTGCAGACGGCATGACTGTATACATAAAAAGTCCCAACGACGGGCGCCTGGGTGGCTCAGTTGGTTGAGCGACTGCCTTCGGCTCAGGTCATGATCCTGGAGTCCCTGGATCGAGTCCCGCATCGGGGTCCCTGCTTGGCGAGGAGCCTGCTTCTCCCTCTAACCCTCCCCCCTCTCATGTACTCTCTCTCTCTCATTCTCTCATTCTCGCTCTCTCAAATAAATAAATCTTAAAAAAAAAAAAGTCCCAAGGAATCTACAAAGAACTTGTATAATTAATAAATGGGTTTAGCAAGTTTAACAGGATATAAGATTAACATACAAAAATCAACTGTATTTATATATACTGTCAATAAATAATTGGACACCAAAATTTAAAATACAATACTATTTACAATGGGGGGGATATATAGGGGGTGAGGAGGGAAGTAGAAGGAGGGAGAAATATTTAGGTGTAAGTCTGACAAAACATGTACAGAATCTGTATGCTAAAAACTACAAAACCCTGATGAAGAACTCAAAGAAGATCTAAATTAATGGAGAGATGTCCATATGTCCATGTATTGGAAGACTGAACATAGTAAAGATACCAGTTCTCTCCAAACTGAACTCTAGATTTAAGGCAATTCCTATGAAAATCCCAGCAAGAATCTTTGTAGTTACAGACAGCTTTATTATAAAGTTAACATGGAAGGGCAAGGGAAGTTAAAGCAATTTTGAAAAAGTTGGAATCACGCTGATTTTAAGACTTACTACTACATAAATACAATATCAAGACAGTGTGGTATCTGCCAAGGGATAGACACACAAATCGATAAATTGGAATAGAGAACCCAGAAATAGATTCACACAAACATAGCCA